TTCGCCCCTCCATAACCCCCACCTTGGACTCTGTCTTGCCCCCGGGCCGTCCGCCCGAGTCCCCCTTCTCGGCTTCTGCCTTGCCCCCGGGCCGTCCGCCCGAGATCCCTTCCGGGTCCTCCGCGGTGCTCTTGGGTTGTCAGCCCAGACCCGTCCTCCGGACCCCCTCCACCCACCCTGGTGGCCCTAGTTTTCTCAACTCTGAGAAGTATGAGTATAACAATCTGTGGGGTGATTTTATGGAATGGTTTGGAGCAGGAGTTCAAACAAAGCACAAGCATAATTCAGTTTAAAAGGATGTACAGAAACACTTTTTTGGAAAAATATGAGAAGGAAGAAAGGTGATTGAAGATGAGAAATTATTGTATATATATGTATAAATGTAAATCTAAGTAGGAATAACTTGCATAATAATTTAAAGGACAATCATTGATCAAGTAAGGGGTGGGAATTAATAAGCATTTGCTTCCTCCTACTCCCTTTCGGACACATATGATTTATTATTATTATTATTATTAATATGAAGACTTTTTTTAGTTTTCTTTGTTGAATATACAAATATTACCATGAATGTGGATAAATACTGTATTATAACAATACGATATTCTGTTTTTCACATTTTTTATTTGTTATTTTTTAATCTGTTCGAAATAAAGACTTAAAAAAAATAAAAAAATAATCTGCTGCTGCGAAAATGTGGAGCAGGGCTGAAAAGTGGGGGGGCCAATGGCCCCCTGGCCTCCCCGCTTCCGGCGCCCTTGGTCTGTACCTGTAGCTTCACTAGGCCTGTCACCACCTCTTCCCATGACTGGATCCTGGTCTCCGCTGCGTCAATTCGTTCCTCTGCTTCCTCCATTCTTTTGTTAATTTTATTGATGTCTTCCTTTATTCCATTGAGTTGTTGGCAGGAGTCTTTTCTAAAGTCTCGCAGCTCTTTTAGAATTAAACTCATATTAGCCTCCCCGCTGTGATCTGCGTCATCTGGCTGCTTGTCATCATCCATGCTGTTGCTTGCTTGAGACAGCTGATCGATTTCTTCCTCGTCGTGCTTTTTACTTTGGGTATTGATTTTATTTCCCTTTCTGGACATTTTTCGTTAGTCCGATATTTCCCCGTTGATTTAAATGCTCTCAGAGAGTTGGATTGCGTTGTTCGGACAGTGTTTTTAGATATTTTGGGTCGGGAGCGTGTTGCTCTATGCTTCCATCTCTGTGTCGGACCGGAAGTCCCCCATTTTCATCACTTACAGCGCCCATCGTACAGGGCAAATGAAACGTGTAACCGGGGTGAAAAGGGTGTTACATTTACTTAATTGTGAATATCGTTACATCAAGGCCGAAAATTAGGATGAGCACCAACGGTCAAAAATGTTTTTTCCCCTCCCAGAGCTGCCAGCGCATGCAGCGCCTCCACAGATCTGGCGCCCTAGGCGAACATCTATTACGCCAGTGCTACGGGCCGGTCCTGAGTTCATATCATACGTTCATATGCAACTCGCAAATATATTTCTCTCTCTCTCTCTCTTCTCTTTTCTCTCTCCTCTCTTCTCTTTTCTCTTTTCTCTTTTCCCTTCTCTCTCTTCTCTCTCTCCCTCTCTCTCTCAATGTTGGTACGCAAATGCGCCTTTTTTCAAATGACACTGTGCTCTTTTGTTGGCGGAGGTGCGCATGCGCACCTGCGCACCAGTTATGTGCAGCCCTGACTATAGAGCTATAGCTCTAGCTCTGACTTCTGGAAACCGAAAAGCAGGTTTATTGCTCATGGATTATCATAAATCATTTCAAAGGGACACAGAGACATTGTATTAACCTATGGATTAACTTCAGCAGCATTTTTATCGTTTTAATGCCATTGAAGACCACTTTTGACCAGACTACGAAACAGGTGAGCCATGTTAGCGTTGTTAGCTACCTAGCGCCATATGTTTTGATGTCTGTTCTTGTTATTATCTCCGCGAGTTCGTATAATTGAGTGATAATGAAGGGTACCCTTCGATTCCGTGTCTCCTCACAATGTGAAACGATGTGTTGTTGGATGTGCAAATATAAATAATAATGTTTTGTGAGGGAATTTCGGTGCAGTCATCTGTTAGCATTTTTCGCTCGTTGCTAATTCAGAGGATCAGCGTTAGCATTGTGTTTTTTTTTTTGGAAAAATAAATAAAAAGGATCAGTTAGATGAGTTTCTTCCCGTTACATGGATATAAAACATTCATAGTTTATTAAATGAACATGCCCTCAGACACTGTTTCCTGCAAGATGTTGCGGCAGTACCTCGGTACCGGGGTCTCTCGGGCTTAACAAGTTAAAATGATTGGTGGATAGGAGATTTGTAGTATTGACTGTTTAGGACACAACGGCAAAACACTATAGAAAAGTATTGGAAAATGTGGGGGCAGCCATGTAAACAGGAGCCGGCTGTAGGTTAGTGTGTAGTGCAGAGAAGTTACTGTGATGATCTTAATAGCAGGTATTCAGGGTTTCCCACACATAGACTATACTTGGGCGGGCCGCCCAGGTATATTAACGGCCGCCCAAGTATATTTCGTGACCCATTTAGTTTTTTTTTAATTTTTTTAATTTTTTTTAATTTTTTTTTTTTTTTTTTATAGTTTTTTTTTTTAATTCGTCCGTGACCACGACGCCATCTGCGATCGATTAACTTGTGGACAATGATCCCTCGCTCCCTTGCTCTGTTCTCGCCTCCTTCTGGCCTGTTAAGTGGCCTGTCTCACACAGGGTGACTGGCTGTCCACATGATGTGGCCTGCCGACATGATCAAATCAAAGCCCTTGATTGGTCTCTGTGTGTCATTCAAGCTCGGGATAACCTCAGCTCAGGCGAGGTAAAGGACTCTGAGTGTTTAGATAGTTAACTTAGTCTAAGTTCTCAGTGGGTCTCAAACGGTGTGGTCACCATTTATGTAAACACATATTTCCATTTGAGAGGGTAGAGATTGGTCTAATCTCTAATGGATAGTGAGGTGGGCTGAAGATCGGAAGGCTGTGAGTTCAAATCCCGCCAGGAACACCACCACTAGTGTGCCCTTGAGTAAGGCACTTAGCCCTTAGTTACTCCAGGGAGAATGTCCCTGTAATCGGTCATTATAAGTCGCTTTGGATAAAAGCGTCAGCTAAATGAAATGTAATGTGATTAGTAAAATATGCATGAATAAATAAATAAAAAGTTAACTAGGTGAAAAAAGGTAAGATACACTTTTAAAACTTGTTGAGAGAAAACTAGTCTTTGCTGCTGCCTCAAAGAGGAGCAGGGGGAGAGGATGGAGAGGGGGGAGAGGAGGGAGACAGGAGAGGCTGATTCAGGAGCACAGACACACTCACAACTATAAATGAACCAAAACTAAATTAATAAACAAGTTTCAGTGTTTTTTTCATATTGGAAATGGTATGTTATTGGTTATGGCCTTGATTTTATGATTATTGAAATGTATACAGTTCTGTTAAATATAGGTGTTTCCATAGATCTAGTCTCTTTATTTTCCCCTCAAAATGCACCAGATTGATGCATTTAACTCCAACATAAAAAAAATCTTACCGGGGGGGCATGCCCCTGGACCCCCCTAGAGGATTTGAGGTCGACCCCCACTAAAAATCACATGGATAGGTTCCTAAATACATTTAGAAATACATTTATTTTTTTAAATAGTAACCCATTTCCATATGTTCATGTGTGGGTAGTAGATTTAAACTATAGGGCTATCATTATGGGCCCTGCCTGTACCTGTACCTGTTCGCTCTGCCATCGCGTGAAGGGTCTGCTAACAAGCGACCAACAGAAAGGTTAATGTTAATGTTGTTGCACGTCACCTCAACCCCCCCCCCACCCCCGCTACCACCACCCCCCCAAGTATATTTCAGATCTGTGGGAAACACTGGGTATTACTTTTTTTGAAATATGTCACTCGTATACACTTCCTTTTCAAGGCCTCTTTTCTAATGTGGTATTCCATATAGCATGTACAAAAGCCCTGAGAGGCAAGGTTGAAAAATACATCTAGTAATCTCTTTTCTAATGGGTGCACTCTGGTGGCCAAAATGATTTCCCAGCTGTTTTTATAGGCAGAAATAAGGAACATATTAAAGTTATACCGACAAACCACTTTATTTCACAAATAGGAAACAAATAAGGAACCTCGAAAGGTTTTCACCTTTTCTGAACTCTAAACAGACGAGAGAAAACAATTTAGATCAGAGCTGGGAAATGATGGCCAGAATTCATTTTTCTCATTTGCCTTACTAAAAACATCTAATTGACTCATCAATAGCCTTAAAAATGCAAAACAAGCACAACATTAACCTTCAACTGATATTCATTACTTTGGAGCAATATATGTCATTGGGAGAACATTTTAGCATGAACAATCACACACATAAGTTCCCTGAGTGATGAAGTCAACAACGTTGAGTGATGACTTTCTTTCGTCTATGATACATCTTTGATTTGACTTTCATTGATGTTCGGGTTTTGCTTATTTAAAATGTGTAGCAAAACTCTGACTAGGGAAAGCTTAAAGGTGGGGTAGGTAATTTTGGAGAAACCAGCTCGAGTGCGCTAGAATTTGAAAATACACAGCCGGAAAAAATCTGGCACTTCCTCACAGAGCCCCTCCTCCAACACACACGAACGCGCACATGACCAATGAGGGCACGAGATAAGGTTGTGCACAGATGGAAGGCTGACAGGCAGGTAGGCCATCCAGTTATTTTAGCCGGGCCGGCTAAAATGATTGGTCGTGCTTTTTACAGCGCCACGGCTTCCACAGATGACATTTTTTATGGATTTTTTGTCAAAGCACTTTAGATATTCATTGCTATCGGGATGTTAAGAGCATTCCATGGAATATAACAAAAAGTGTATCTCGAGCCGGTTTCTCAAACTTACATACCCCACCTTTAAGGTTGAAATTGATGATAAATAGTGTGTTTTTAATGTTTACTCTTTCTCTGTTCTGGCACTCATGTTTTCCTTCTTTTTCCCCAGACAATTTCATGAGGATTATGGAGAGAGATGTTGAAGACAGGAGTTTACGGAGAATTGCAAAAGCAAATAAGGCACATGGTAAATGACATTTTTGTTGAATCTGCTGCTCTGTTTGACTCGAAATACATCAGTTGAAATATTTTATCGTTAATGTCACTGCAGCACTCAAAGACAAGGGGAACGAAGCTTACGCTCAAGAAGACTATGAAACGGCTGTGAAGTATTACAGTGATGGCTTGACTGAACTACGGGACATTCAGCCATTGTACACCAACAGAGCACAAGTGAATATTAATTTCCATTTAATCTTTTGTATGTTTTGCTACAAAAACAACACAAATTGTTGTTTTTTTGTATTTCAATTAGTTAAAAGACGAAGAAATCGGAAAGAGTCTGCCTTTGTGCGCCTAGCATTATACCATATTGATAAATCCTTTTGTTTCACTAAAGGTCTTTCCTTTTGGACATTATAATGGCCATGTGCAATTAAGTTAATCGTACAAACAATACACTTAGTTCCAAAGACCCAGCATTTAAAAGTCTACTCTGATAATTACACTGCTGGACTGCCTTGTCCAATTTCAAATATCTACTTAGGCGTACATCAAGCTGGGGAAGTACAAGGAGGCCATCAGTGACTGTGAATGGGCCCTGAAGGTAAGGCCTAGCTAGGAACTGGGGTCAGTAAATCGCTGCCTCATTCGTCAAAGTGTCATCTGACGTGCATTCTTTGTCATGCTTGGAGCTCAAAGTAGATATTTGCGAGAGAAAAAAAAACGGAATAGTCGAGTGGCATGGAGTTTTGTTCTCTTGAGTTCACTCGAGCCAAACGCAATTTGACAATGAATAATTATTACTGTAGTTTTGGATGTATGCTCTAAAAAGCAACTTGATTTGATCATCCTTGAAAAGTTATTACACCTAATTTGGTTATTAATTATGATATTCACAATCGATCTTGAGTCTTAAATGCAACAACATCTCAAAATAATTGGTAACATCTATTTTTTTAGACAATTTACCAAATGCCTTTAACATTTCAATCACGTAGATCTAGGCATTCGGAAAAATTCAATTCAATTCCCTCTGGCATTTAACAGTCTTAAATGTAATACATCTATCTTGACTCGAGGAACTCTATCATTGCAACACATTTCTACTGTAGAGAGTATTTCTGAAGGTCATATTGAACATTAACCTCTTCTTGTGTTAGTGGTATCAGCGGAGATGCATTAGATCACCATTATGTACCTGTAGATGTGTTGCTGATGAAGTGCTTCAACTAATCTCTTCCCATCATCATTCTATCTCTGTCAGTGTAATGAGGGGTGCATTAAGGCTTACCTCCACATGGGCAAAGCATATCTGGCATTAAAGAAATATAATGAGGTGAGTATGATTATCTGTCACTGCATCTAATCACTACTGCTTCTTACACATTTCTCTTGTATACAGATCAAATCTCATCTAACTATAGCAGGAACATGGGTACATAATGAAAGTGGTTTGCCTGGTATAAAGCAGGTTAATAGGAATTTTTAATTAAATATGTTGCACACACGCAGCCTAGCCTCAAAGCAATCCTCTGTAAAATCTTTTTTTTGTAGGCATTTCAATCCGTTTAGAGGCAAGCCTTGACTTTAATATTGATATCTGGTACAAAAAATATCAAATTCCATCATCGTTTTCTATGTATTGCACTGAAACTGTAATCTGTTGGAGTCACCGGAATGATATTGATTTCCATAGCTTTAGAAGTGAAGCACACAGCAGTGATTAACGAAATTCTTTTCTTTTCAGTCCAGAAAATGCTTTGAAAAGATGACGGAAATTGAACCTGCGAGGGAGAAAATGGTGAAAGGTAAAGGGGGGTTTCAGGGGTCAGTTAAGGACATCTTTAACATATTCAAGTCCTTTGTGATATCTGCCTTCTTTGGCTATGTAACATGACTACCCATTAAACGTTTTTTGTATCACATGATTCAGTTTTATTATTGTTCCATAGTTTTATTTATACAATACTTAGTAGATTATGGCCTTGTTGGTGAGTTGGATGTTATTGTTGTGGTCTCACTGACTGCAGATCTATTATTTGGAAGGTTTTGACACATCCTTAAGATTAATGCCACACTACTGCCAAGCCAACAAAGACATATTGAGCTTTCCTTAGTTTTAGCTTTTAAGGTCCAGTACTCTTTTCTACAAAATGTTGCTGAAAATAAACGCTGCTACTTTATGGCTATCACACAAATCTGCACTGTATCTGTCTTTTTTCTATTGCCATATGTAGCGAGCATTACATTTTCAATACTACAGACCCACTTAAGTCCTCATGTATAGTTTATGGCAATAGGCAGGTGGGGTGGTTGCTTCCGAATAGCTTTTGCGATACAATGAGGCTTCCCCTTCACTCTTTTCTGTGACAGTCAAAGTGCAGTGTCTGCTATTGAATATATTTTCTCCATGCAGAATACCTGGACCAGGTTGATTTGGAAGAGGAGAGACAGAGTCAGGAGATAAATGCAATGCAAGATTTTGTCATGGGGGAGACGAATGCCATAAGAGTGCCCGTGCTGCTGGAGAAGTTGTCTCGGCCTGGCCAGCTTCCCATGTTCTACTGTGGAGGATTGGAGACTCTGTCACTAGCAGTTACTGACTGTGAGTGTTATTTGGAGAGTTTTGCGCATTATATTTAGCCTTCTCTTTTAATCTTCCTTCACTGGGTCACCTACTGTATTTCTCGATTATATGGCTCAAATGGTAAGAACAAAGATGGGCCATAAAAATAGTTTGTACTCAAGCTCTCACAGCAAACGTTCTAGGGCATGTCATCAGGTCAAACACGGCTGCAGCAACTGATTATTATTATTATTACTACTGCAATGGAAGAGAGGGTGAGACTTAACGCTGTCCATCACTGATTCTCTTCACACTCCATTTGCTTGTCACACTGAGCAAATTTCCAATAAAGACTATAAAGCCACACCGAAAGAGCAAAACCCCAGAGGTGGCTAGTGTGGTGAGCCATGACAACACTATGTAACACTATAACATGACACTTACACAGCTGCATACATATTCCTGTGCAAAACAACTCTATTTGTATATGTATTCCATTATCAGAGCAGGAAGATCTTAACTAGCAGAATTAGACCTCCCTCTATGATAATATAGTCTAGTTGCTGAACTGCTGAGTGGGCCATTCTGAGCTAGCAAGGTAAGCAGTTCCACCAGTTAAGTGGTGTTGTAAAACATAATGAACATTAAAAAAGGAAATGCCCAGCATTAAGATATCGACATAGTGTAAGGACAGGATTGTGTAGGCGATTTTTCGTTGTATTCTGTGTTCACAGTAGGTACAGAGGGGGGTTGTTACAAGGTGACAGCAAACACTATTAAGCCTTCTGTGGCTGTCGTGGGTGCAATTTAATGGAACACATGTGATAGCAGTTGTCCATTCCTTAACCTCAGTGGCATTACCTGCACATAACCCTGTCAGAATTAGAGTAGGTAGCTAGAGAGTGATGCTTCCTGTTTCGTTGGCTTTGTGGATTTTTTACAGTCTAGACTAAGGACCTCTAGGTGGACGGGGGTCCTGTCAAATTCCGTGGAATTATCAATGCTTATATATATTTAACAGGATATCAAAAGAGTTGTCAAAATAAGTAGCAGAATTTCTTGCACAATTTTCAGAAACAGCTTCTAAAACTTAGTTGAAAAAGATAATTTGTCCCCACTGCAACTGTTTATCAAAGTAACACTAAAAGGAGAGAAAACAAATCCCATGCTGCAACATAATGTGTGGAAATGGTTGCAGATGGCAAATCATATCAAGCATTGGCTTACAACTAGCACAGTGCTGCATCATTGTGTATTGCTAACCCTCTATTTTTGCTTTAACCTTAAAATGCCTTATTCTTTTTCACTGGCTGTCCACTGCAGAATAGCAAACATTTCTTATCCGATCGCTCTTTGTTCTTGATTTAGATGAATAAAAGTGTACCGCCAAAGATATAATGCCTGTCTCACAGTACCATTCAACGGGAAAGGGCAACCTTACATAACTCAGAACTGAAAGGAACTCAGCAGGGCTGACATTACAGGCTTTCACCCCTAAACTGCTCCCTAACTGTCCTGCTGTACTTTAGTAGACTACAAATCATTGTAAGTGGAAGATAGACCATTCCTCATTATACCTTACTCTCTCAACATATTTTATTTATTCTTTTCTCTCCAACCATGTCTCTAAATCACTGAACAGGCCAAGCTTAACAAAACGAGAGCTATGTGTTTCTCTGAAAAGTGGCTACCTGGTGCTGATATGTAGTTTTTTTGTATTCTCACACTATCTACTGTTCTCGTTATCAGGTACAGGCCAGACCCTTTTCAGACTGAACAATGGCTTCAGTATCATCGGCAGCAATGACACAGTGAGGAGGTAAGGAGACCAGAGGGAGAGCTGTCAGTTCGTTTTCAGTGGCGCTATGACAGATGGACCCAGAGACCGGCGCAGACAGACACAATGATGGCCTAAACTTGAGAGATCATTTCCCATCCTCTCCCGCTCTCTCTTTGGTTTTTGTGCTTTCAGCCAAATAGGAAAAGGCGATCACATTGAAGATTGAGATGAGCGCTAATATGAGCCCTGTGTTTTGTCCCTGAAAAAGGGGGTGTTTTGCACATGATATCAATTATAAGTCCCTATTGTTAACTAGTCACACATTTTTCAGTTTTTTTTCATTGTTATCACTGACATTATATTATAGTTACTGTGTTTCGAGAGATAGAGTGCATTGATATTACAATAAAATAGCTATAAAGAATACTGCTGGGAGCCAGATACAACTAACTGAAACCTTTGTGAACCATGTCACACACAATGAAGTCAGCTGGTGTATTGTTGTCTGGATTTAGAATTTAAGAGCTAAGGGAAATTCAAGGGTTTGTGTGGTGTTAAACCCACAGAAATCCAAGTGTTGGGGCAATTGCTCACAGAACATCTTCTTCTAAAAAACATGTAACAAATATAAGGATTATAGATCATCCTGTAAGATTGAGCCAATACATTCCATCTTCCTCAGGGCAGACACAAAAGTGACGTCAAGTTCAAACCCCTTAGTGGGATAACTGATGACTTGTCAAGTAGCATCTGAGCGATGGCCAAGTTGCGAACACACATAAGGTTCCTACAAGAGATGTAGATAAATTGAAGGGCAAAGTGCCTTATGATGACTAAGCCATTATTAGCCCGAGTTTATACTGCATGCTCACAAAAAAGTGTTTGTCTATTCTTATTGCACTATTTCCTTTATATAGCTATACTGAAAAAGATTTTATTCATTGTTAGTTATTATCAGTGTTTAATAGTCGCCTTACATTTTGTACCTCAAAAATAAGGGCTTTGCTTTTTACCCATGAATGCATCGTATTTTTCTGAGATGAGATGGCATCTAGTGAATTGTGTAATTGCTACATGCGTCTGCTGTTTTAAACATGCTCATGTGTTACGTTCTGTTTTTCATTTTTTTATTTCATCCTTTATTTTGCGTGGAGGCATACTTGCATATAAATTACATTGAAATTATTTCAGAGAGTAATATTTCAATATGATTTGTATTATGTCAATTAGAAGAGGACAATGACACACTGATCACTGAGCTTCATCTTCTCTGCAGTTGCCTTTTGCAGGAAACAAAGGATCCAGGATGCCAGGAGTTGTGTGTGTCTGCTCTGAAGTTATGGAGGGTTATCTGTTGTGGAAACGGTATGTATTACATTGAGTTACATTTCAAATTCTGTCTTGTTCATGTAGCCAGATGCTCTCACTAAGTTAACAGGGAATAGAGGTACAAACTGAATTATTATTCTGCAGTGTGTCATTACAGCACAGCTTGTCACTGTTATACTAAGCCTTTCTTTTGTCACGTCTTTATTTTCACTTTGAATCACAAAAGCTGTGTGGGCTTCAACAAATCCACCCTCTGTGCCAACTGTGATACTCAGTGTGTGTGTGTGTGTGTGTGTGTGTGTGTGTGTGTCTCTGTGTTTGTTAATACCCTATTGTGTTTTTTCAGCCTAATATTCATATAATTGTGTTATTAGATTAGGTGGTTGTTCCTTGGGAACAAACAGGGTACTGTGTCCACTGAGCTCATATTTTGTACATAACATGTTTTCCTTTTGTTTTCAGATGAAAACCAGAAAATGTTGATTACGTGCCCAGTCATCAGACGGTCCATTGTTGACTTGGTAACAGCCGAGCATGTTGCAGTGCGGGAAGAATGCCTGACATTACTAAGTTTGTACTCACAGACGCCACATGGCAGACGTTTGGTTATTGACAACCTGAATGGGCACAAGTAAGACATGTATTTACTTTTACTTTATGCACATTTACATCACATGCAACAGACAAGAGCGACAAGATAGCTGGAGTAATGTTTCCATGTTCAGATGTAGTAGGTTTTCTGCATGTTTCCTATAAACTAAACTATTCAATGTTTTTCTAATTTAGGTAGTCCCATCTCGAAGTATTGAAATGATCTTACATTTTACATTATTTCCCTTAATGAAATTAGTGGAAAGACAATAGGTCAGCCCTGGGCCATATGTTTGGCATTGTTAGTACAATTGCCACGTCCATTTAATGAGATTTTAAGAATTGTTAGAAGTCATCGCTCTGGGACATAGTCTCCATAGATTAAAATGGGGCCTAAGGGATTTCTTATCCTATGTGTGATATTATCGGAGCTGCAGATTTTGGTTTTCAGAAAATTAGGAATGAATTATATTGTTGCTCCTGATTAGCATTATTATCACACTTATATGATTTTTTCTTTCCATCACTCTCTCCTTCTTCTATTCTTATTTCCTCTCTTTTTCTGTCTCGACCCCTCTGAATCTCAAGGTTTGTGAGGAGCCTCATGGCGTGCATCTTAAAGCCAAAAAAGCAGCAGCAGCAGAACTCAGCTGTCAAGATTCTGGAGAACTTCGCGGCAGAAAACAAGTATAACTGATACACAGCCTCACAAATCCCTAGAAAACTATTCACTTTATTACTGAACAAGGAAATTCACAGTTTCGGATACTCAGGATATGACCCACCGCTCTATTATCATCGAATATATCATATCCATATATATTTAAAGCACTCTAAAATCCATCTATTCATCATGCAGGAGGGCTCCTCTGACAAATGGTGTGGCATCTTTAATATTTCAACATGTGCTATCCAAGGGTTAAGGTCACTTCAAGGCAAAAGGCCGTTCTCAACCTGTTTTCCTCTCTGGCGCCTCATGAAAACAAGACATGACAGGGAAACCCAGGCTCCAACACAGCAGGAAATAAGTCGAGGTGTCAAGCAGTGAAGGGGGAAGATCAATTTCCCTGTCTGTAGCTCAAAGAGAGTTACCCAACACAAATGTATTTTGTGCTACTGAGGTTTTTCACTTCACTTTTTGAGGATGATAATATACAACCAATCCAAATTCCACATTGGATCCAAATAAAATAAAATGTATATTGTGAAACATTTACATATTACATATACATTTGCAAACATTCAATGCATATAACACTACATAAGATAATACAAGAGTAGATAAGATGGACCTTTATTTATCCCTGTGGGGAAATTCAGGATTTTAAAGCAGCAACAGAGTGAGAATGAAAACAGGGCAGTACAGATTCACACGAGGATAATAACATTTACAATTACATTATATAAGTAACTGTTCAATTTAGATATCACAACAAGGTAAAAGGGATTAGTCCGTGGCTGAATGTACTCCTCATCTTCACTAGCTCTGCATGGAGGGGGGGGGTTCTCAAGGATAATGTCCAGCTTCCTCCTCGTCCTCTCCTCAGCCACCTACCCCAGATTCTCTAGTTTTAGTCCAACAACAGAGCTAGCCTTCCTCACAAATTTGTTCAGCCTGTCAGCTTCATTTTTGTTGGTGTTTCCACCCCAGCACTCCTCAGCAAAGAGGAGCACACTGGCTACCACAGACTGGTAGAACATCTGCAGCAGCCTCCCCCCCCCCCACATGACACAGAGCACCTTTTATTTTTGTTGTAGTCATTTGTAACGATCAACTATCTAAAATAGTTGTGTTAATTAAACGCACAAGGGGTTCTTGAATGAAATAATATTATAAAGGTAAACAGAAATAATAAACGGATAATCTGCTCCTTAAACAAAATAAACAGAGACAGATTTCATGCATGGATCCATTATATTGACAGTTTTCCAGCCAAACAACACAAACAAAATTAAACAGTCCGCTCTGCGATACACAACAAGTGTCTTTACTGCCTAATCCAGGCTATTGTTCATTGACAAAAAAAAGCTGTTGCTCCTGCGCCCGTCGGCGGCAAAAACAGAAATGTTTGTAGGCCTTTTCAGGCTATATTCCACACAAAAAAGGAAACACGAGGTCCAGCGTGGCACAAAGGAGCGATCTCACCCTGTGTCGGAGAGAATCTCTCTCTATCTGCGCGCGTCCTCTCCAAGGAGACGGGCTTCCAGGTCGGTCGATGCAATATCCACATACGGTTACTTTCAGTTACTTCCCCATTGCATTTTAACATATATACATGCTGAGAAAACGTAACTATCCCGCTGAATACCCGCATTCACCACACACAGGCTTCCTCCTCCCGTGAGAACCACCTCTGGCATCCTGTTGACGCGCCCACTAAAAAGCCTCTGGGTGCGCCGCGACAGGTGAATATGCAAATGAGGCTTGCAGAACCACACCCTCAAACCTTACATAAAAGTGGACATTTAACGACTGTAGTTGCGAGGATAATACACATGCATCATAGATTTTCATTTCATTTGAATCTAAACTACATGCCTTAACCTTTTCCCCTGCCCCTACAGTTTATAAGAAACACTGAGATCAATCTGCGACTGTCACACATTAGTCAAAGCAACTGGATTGTGATGTGTTACAGTTAATCCATATGGTCAATTTGATGATTCATCTTTACTCTCTACTCACCTCCTCTTCTCCAAAGTATCCTTGTTCATTTGAATACAACAATGAGTTATATACATTGGTTAGTTCTGGTAAATAGTGGAACCATTATGTATTCTAATACACATACTCTGTACCTATCGTATGTTAAGTATGGTAGCGATGTTTAATCTTTTCTTACAGATTTTGCCTTCAGTTAAGGGGCGTGTTGAAAGAATCTGTCATTGTGCCATTTACAACATTACTGGTAAGCTATGTACTCTATATGTAGATACAAAGTAGTTTTCATATTGATATATACACTCAATATATTCAGATGTGTGTGTGTGTGTGAGCAAATGAACAAATGTGTTTTCTTCATTTTATAGGCAAATATCAGCGAGTCCAATCGGCAGGTCCTTCCATCACTGATATCGGCTGTTGGCTGTCTTGCTCGAGATGATGTCATTCGTCACAAATTAGCCCATGATCCAGAATGTTGGAAGGCTTTTGTGGTCGCCATTGTAAGTACAATTACTTTTTTCTTTTTATAGTAAAGTTCAAATCACTTGTTCATTGAGTTGAAACACCACAGTGTGCTCTGAATGACACAGTGAGACACTTTGTAGCCTGGATATGTTAAAAATATTAGCTTTAGTTTTTAAACTTTCTGTATTGATTTTATTAAGTGTAGAATGTGTTGGCTGTTTTTGTAGAGGCAATGCAGTGCGAGTGATTACAAAGAAATCCTTTACCCTATGCTTGGGTTGATCATCAACCTTTCAACTATCACCTCTCCAATCATTAAGGTAAGAAAAAAGTCATGTGAGACATTTACTTGCCGTACTTTAAAAACTGATGACATCATGACACTGTATCCAATATAAAGTAAAGCTGAACTGACATTCAACATGAATGAAAGAATTACATGTTTTTAAAGAACATTCGCTGTACACCACTTTAAAAATATGTATGTCATCAATATTAAATAAAAGGATACTTATGTGAACCATGATGTGTGACATCAGGGGGTAAAACATATCTGAAAATTGGTTTGGTCACATTTCTCTCCCGTTCTTTGTAGGAGCATGCTGTCTCACTCTGCGACTGCACCCTGGGCCTGCTGAGGGATAGTGACGGAGAAGTAATAACTGTGAGTTATTGTTACTTTGGCACTACACAACAGTACTCAAGAGGTTTACTTTAACCCTTACATGTCATGAATTTACTGCTTTACTGTACCATAACTCCCATTACATTTATATGTTTGGCTTTGTCGGACCAAGAAAAGTTTTAAAGTATTAATACTCGTTTTTAACCGTTACTAATGATGCATGTTGAAAACATTCAGTTTGTTTCCTAATGTCCATACATCCTTAAAAAGATAAAACACATCCTTTCAGGGAAACTTGGCGGAATAGAAGACATCGGCGATGAGTAATGGGGCTTTTGCTGCTTGTGAAGTCATTGGCAATGTGCCAGAAAGGTGGTAACAGCCATCCAAAATGTTCAGAGGGTCCTATGTGTCATTACAGTTGATTAAAGCTCAAGCTCCAGGTGCTGGGCCTGTGCTAATGGCTGTTAGAGCAGTTTCACACTGCCTACACAATGCCCTCAGAGTCCCACACTTCCACCCATCTGCCTCTTTACTCTATTTTAGTGCTCACACACTGTGTTCCTGTAACTTTTTCCGTCATTGTCACCTGGTCCCAACACCCTCTATTTAAAATGTCCCTGATGTTTTTCTCAGTTTGTGTCTTTTCTTGACTTGACTTTCCTCTTTATTGTATATTCAAGGCTACACCAAAGCCCTAAAGCCCAAAGTAATGCTTTTGGGCTGTTTTGTTATCACTTTGAGTATATACATTTAAGTTAAGCTTTCTGAAAGGGAGGTGTGAGGAGCAGGAGGCAATAATTGTTAGAAGTTACTCTAGAGAATCTAATTAAACACATTTTATAATCAGTCCAACATGTTTTCATCATTTTAACATATGACTTTCTGTACTTAACTGCTGCAAACACACTCCAGAAGACCTTCTGATTTCACAATTGTCTTTTCCTATTCTCCACTTCTATTAGACTCTAATATTCTTTAAGTCTTTTTTTTGTCTGCTAGCTATCTTTTGCTGAAAACACTTTTCTGTTGATGCTCTGCTACCCTGTGTATTTCTCTGCTGTGTTTTGTAACTGTCTTTCTTCCTATATTTTACTTCCCCTTATATAATCTCTGTTTCTAATGCCAACAATGTTCTTTGTCCTCCAGAGAGCCACGGGTATGCTGAGCACTGTCCTCCCTCAGTCCCCTGAGGCCGTTCAGCATGTTGTTCAGGGGGGTGTGGTCCGGCTCATGCTCCCCCTGCTGAAGGTGCATATCTGTACATACAACTAAGTATCTATTAATACAGCAACACATGTTTAACTTGTGGAATCACAATATTTACATGAAGACATGAGGAAAAAAAACAGATTTGACATGTATAGTGTACTTGATCATTTATTTTTAACTGGGTAACTGGGTATTTTCTACTAATAACAAGTGTCAAACCCCACTGCAGTCAGCATGTCGTTGTGTCCCTGGGCAAGACACTTCACCCCAAATTGCTCCTGTGGGGATTGCCCACTGTATTGAGTATGTAAGTCGCTTTGGATAAAAGCGTCTAACAAGTAACATGTAATGTAATGTAATGTCAACATAACGTTGTTTTCAGCCTTACGTTTAACATGTTTAATGTGATTGTTATTTCTTTGTCTTCCTACCAAGGGAACAGGGCAGACTGCCACTAAGTATGCCATTAAGACTCTGACTCTCTGCACTGCTGTCAGTCAGTCGGCCCGGGAGGAGCTGGTGCAGTCTGATAAAAGTGAGGAATGATTGACATTCATTAGTTTATGAATAACATTTTAGGGTTGGCCTAATATGCAAATGGGTGTGTGTCTGCTTGCCTGCAGTGTGCAGTATATTTGTTGATTTTCATGTCAATACATGTGTGTTTGTTATTACATTTGAAAAAAACTATTCTCTTCTTATTGACTTTTTATGTATTGTTTTACACAGAACTGTCTGTTTTACGTCGTTTGCTGGCTTCCAGCTGTGATGAGATGGTGTCAGGAAATGCAGCCTTATGCTTGGCCCACCTCCTTGAGTTGGAGGGAATTGCCAGCCGCCTGCTGGGCACTGATACTGTGCGGCTGCTGCTGCGCCACGCAGCGGGGGACGCTAAGAGGACAGCTGTGCGGCAAAATGCTGCCATTGCTCTGGGGAAGTTGTGTCGATTTGAGCCCAGGTGCCCTCTCACCTCATTCTATAAACCACATGCTGCTGATTACATTCTAGAAACTAGCCTGAAGGAGCATTGATGGACAAGATTGAAAGTCCCACTGATATGACACTATGTGATGTTATGGTAGTCGGTCACACATTAGGCAAATGTACGAGTTCTGGCTCAGCTGGAAATATTTATTATATTGTTTGCATATCAAAGTCATTATTTAAATATTGTTTATTATACAGTGTTTATATTCTGTATTTTCATTTTATTTTTCAAGTTACTGTCACCACTTTGACTCTGCAGTCATTCTGTGCATGCGATGACCAACTATTGTGTGAATAACTACTCTAATGCACAGTATATCCACAACATGACCACTTTTTTTATTAATATCTGCACTTATTTTGAATGCTAAATCATGATGGATAGGCTGATTGCTGCGTTTGTTTGATAGCTTAAATTTGTGTTCATTTAGTTGATCAACGCTCCTGTCTGTTGGATACATTTTGTGGTTAAAACTAATGTGTTTTTTTGTGACAAATTGCAAGAGGAATTTGTCCAGAGCCCAAGCTGTCATGAAATGCTTCTCCAAAGACATGAAATGATGATTCTCAAATAGGAAGAAGATGGGATGTTTCAAATAAGTTATCGTTGTCAAAGTAGTTGTTAATTAATGTTCTGTCCATCAACTAATCATAAACATGACCCATTGTTTCAACTCAGTATAATGAGACAAATATTTGAATGTTCAAATGGAAAAAAGGGATTGTAGAAAAGCTCTGGAGGCAGTTCCTTCCACCCCAATGATTAACTCCAAATGATGTGCAGTTCATTGTATTCAGTGGGTCTTCAATCAAGGTTTAAAAACATATAAGCTAAATTGGAGCAAGGAAATGCTGTCAGTTGAATTTTACCCCACTGAACATACTTTCAATGTGCTTTCAATTGACATCCTCCTTTCTTCAATTCCAGACATATCCACAAACTTCGGGAACTTCACGGCCTCGAGATCCTGCACTCCTGTATGAAGGTCATCCCATGAACCCCATAACACATTTTTATAATATCTTTGCTTTCATCAGTCTTGTCCTTTTATCTTAGTGTTAGGCTTAGATGACTAATCTCTAAAAACACCAGGCCTGGTAGTCATAAGATTTGTTTTCTCTTCTTTATAATTCCTTATCCAAACACTGATCCTTAACTGCTATTCCAAACAATACCTATCATTTTTCAAATATGTTGTATATTTTCTCTCTCTTTTTAAAATTCAGATTCTAATCGTTGTCTGATTCTGATTACCTTGTAAAAAAAAAATCAAATATACTTTGCCTTTTTTATTTTTCATGCCCATTAAAATGTATAATTTTTGACAGAGAACTAGTGTGTGCAAATGATGGAGTACACTACTTGCTTGTGGGAGAATTAACACAATTTATAATAGAGTGTTTGTCCCTCTGCAATGTCGGTGCCTGCCTTTGGTATATTTCCTTTTGGATTTCATTCCAAAAAGGAGCAGTTTAGTCCTGAATATATTATTAATCTGAAGAAACCCTCCGTCATCTGTGTGGATTCTCTGGATGGCAGTACTGGAAGGATAATTAATCGTGTACAAACACATTTGCGTTTTAAAGACTGTTTACAGTTTGACTTAGGTTTGGGGTCTTCCAAATTTGCAGTTATTTTGAAATAAAAGCTGTGCCCAGGAATTGAATTTGGGACTTTTTCTTGCTATGTGACAACAGCTTTAACCTGTTGATTAGCCGACGTGAGGTTACTCAGCGCTGCGGCCGCTTCTTGGATGTTCAGCCAATATGAGAAGGTCAGAGTTATAGCTCTGACTGCTCGCATCATTTTTGCACAGCAACTGTGATGAGGAGTTGCAATGGGGTAGACAAGTGAACCTGGAATTATGTCTGCTTTTATCTAAGCTGCACTATATAATGAAAAAGTCTGAAAGTGTGAGGTTGTGGTTTCAGGGGATTTACGGTGTGTTTGTGGATATGTTCAAATATACACACACCTTATAGCCATGGCAATATAACACCTAGCGAGGGAAGATAAAAGGCTGTGGAGTTCTTAGCGATCAGCTTCGTTTTAGGGTTGGCAATATCATTATGTTGAAAACTGGACTTTGGTTCGGACTAAAATAGCTCATCACTATTGAATGACTTGCAATCAAAATGTATGGTTCCCTGAGAAAAAATCTATATTGATTCTGACTGTTCTACATCCAACTCACAGGTTTATCATTGCTTTGAGAAACAAATATTATTAATTTACCCCTTTTAGAAGTTAAGTTATAGTCATTTGCTCTGGGAATGTCATTTTCGAGCCTGAGACCTGGAAAGCAGGCTCGGGGCTTAACAGGTTAACATGATTGTTAAATACATATTCTTTATTAGTTTCATGCATAAAGGTGCACATATTTCTGTATTTCATCGTAAATCCCTTTGAGAAGAAAACTTGTCTCGGATTCATCTTACTAAGTTGCAGTTCCCTAAGTGACCCTTAGAAACACTTTAGAGTTAAATAGCATATGAGAATGTGAACACCTATTTTTAAGGAGTGTGTGTCAGTCAGTAAGAGTATGAACGTGTTCCAATATTGATAGGTTATTAACGCCATAAACTGTATTGCAAATGAACAAATCTAGTCTACTTTTCTGGCATTTTTTAACCTTTTGACTAGTACCCGCAGTGACTGTAAAAGGAGCGGTTAACAGAAATCTAATCTCTCTGCAGAGGACAGGCGCTCCCTGTAAGGGATGACACCATCTATGTATGTGTGCAAACAACTGATACCTTCTGCTCAGTTGGTATTAAACAGCAATAAGAGCAATTATTCACTGAGGCGTGAGAGATTGTAAACAGGACTGAACAGAAATGAGGAGGCTTTCCTTTTTTAGGAATTTTCCTACTTACAGGTATGTATCTATTTATACGGTACAGAACAGTAGTACCTTTTATTTTGTTGCACCATTTTGTGCACTTGCTGATAAACATTAAGATAATATATCTTTTTCATGTTTTGGAGTACTTTTATTCTCAGCTATGAAAGATTGTTTTATTTTATTTCTACATATCCCCCCCAAAAAACCAAACTACAAAATGTAAAGTAGCAAATAGCTAAATAGTTGTACTCTCACTTTTAGGAATGCAAATTTTTTTTTTGAACTAATTAAATCGAAAGCTGAAAGAACCAAAATAAATTAACAAATACACCAAGTTAAATATTTTAAGTAAATCTGCCTATGGAAGACTTCTACTTTCTAAAAAGCCTCTTCATGAATATGTATCACTTATGATGAAGCATGAATAATATTCATTCCATACAAATGCATTTCACCTTACTCACCACCAACAAGGACATGTTATAATGAACATTCGTACTTCACTTTGCATTCACAAATGTCCTTGTTATACTTCATGGAACATTATAGTATGCTAAGAGTCGTACAATTGATTGTCGATGTGTGTATAGGAACGTATAGGTAGTCATAATGTTTTGTAAGTTTCTAGTTTTTAACTCGTCGAGTACATCCATTAGACGCTCATAATTTATTATGTTTTAGAACATAAACACATTAACACATAGTTAATCAGAAAGCATAATGTTTTTTTTATAAATGTGTAGCAATGTTAGTATCAGCATAAATGTGCGAATGTATTAGAATTTAACACTACTCAGCTGAAATGATAAAAAATTACCTGGTGCAGACAAAAAACCAACATAACGTAATCATAGAAGAATATTTCCCAGATTTGTCCGTTTTTTGTGCCTCAGCAAGACTCCACATAAGCCGGAAAGAGCAGTCTGTCCTGGATGAGCTGGAAATATACAGACTAAAAAGAATTGTTACTAAAGTAAGGAAGCAAATGGGCAGCGTTGATTTTAAAAACCTCAATGTCTGTTTAATTTATTTGTTTTTATTTTTGCTTTTAACATCTCACTCGCAATGGATACTTTTAGAGTGGGAAGTTTAAATGTAAATGGAGCCAGAGAGGAAAGAAAGAGGGCTTTCATATTTCAGACTGCAAAAATAAAACATATCGATGCCCTCTTTTTACAAGAGACGCACAGCAACGTTTTTAATGAGACGGACTGGAAAAAGGAGTGGGAGGGGGAAGTCATTTTAAGCCACAACACCTCTCTCAGTGGGGGGGTGGGCTTCCTCCTCTCCAAGTCTTTTAATCCTGTCTCACTGGAGGTCGAGCACTTTATCAATGGGAGGTTGCTTTTAATAAAAGCACGGTTTGACCTTTTTACAGTTTTTATAAATGTGTATGCTCCAACAAATGGTACAGAGAGGAAGCTGTTTTTACTCAAAGTTAATAATGTTTTAAATGGTTGTGCCACGGAGGATTTTTTATTCTTGGGTGGGGATTTTAATTGTACAGAAAATGCATCTTTAGATCGCAACCATGCAGAGCCGCATCCAGCATCCCAGCATGTTCTGAGGCAGCTGGTCCACTCCCACGGCCTGGTGGATGTATGGAGAAGGATGCACGCAGACAACAGGCAGTACACCTGGTCCCACATCAGAGAGAATAGAATCTCATCAGCTAGACTAGATCGTTTTTATTGTTTTAAGCATCATTTTAATACTTTTTAAATGTGCAGCATATCACCTGCTGGTTTTACGGATCACTCTTTGCTTTTATGTAATGTTTTTATTAGAAATGTTTTACCCAGAAGTGCATATTGGCATTTTAACTCGGTTTTAACATTTGATAAACATTTTAAAGAAGCCCTTATTTATTTCTGGAGTGTTTTTAGGCAGAGAAAGGGAGATTTTAGCAGTCTTAGGCAGTGGTGGGACCATGGTAAGACTGAGATAAGATTGCTCTGCCAACAGCACACCCTCAATGTCACACAAGACATCATTAGATCTATGAAAGACCTGGACAGTGATATAGTGGAACTAGAAACAATAAGTGAGACCACAGGAGATCGAGGATATATTCAAATCCTCAAAGAGAAAAAAATGGCTTTAGCCAACCTGCTGGACGTTAAAGTTCAGGGTGCACTAGTCAGGTCCCGGTTCCTCAACACCAATGAGATGGATGCTCCCACTAGCTTCTTCTTCGGCCTGGAGAAAAATAATGGGCAGAGGCGAGTGATCCACTCACTGCTGTCAGACACAGGGCAGGAAATAACAGCCAAGCCAGATCAGGAGGCGAGCTGTGAGTTTTTATTCCACCCTCTACACAAGCGAATATGAGGAGGTGGAAACTCTGTCCGAGGGGTTCGGACTACCTCAGGTCTCCGAGGAGACCAACTCACAGCTCGAAGGGCCGTTAACGATCCAGGAGCTGCAGACCGCCCTGCAAGGCATGCAGGGTCGGCGGGCTCCTGGTATCGATGGCCTCTCCGTAGAGTTTTATAAAGCCTACTGGAACGTCTTGTCACATGACCTTTTAGACGTTTTTAATGAAAGTCTGGCCTCTGGTTCTATGCCGATGTCCTGCAGGAGAGCGGTGATCACGCTGCTACCAAAAAAAGGAAACCTGCAGGACATAAAAAACTGGCGCCCTGTGTCTCTGCTGTGTGTGGATTACAAACTTCTGTCCAAGGCTTTGGCCACCAGGCTGGGGAGGGCTGTGGAGCAGATCATCCACCGGGACCAGACTTACTGTGTGCCCGGCAGGTCCATGGTGGACAATGTCCACCTAATTCGAGATGTTTTGGAGGTCTCCAGCTCATTGAGCATTAATACTGGTCTGATCTCTCTAGATCATGAAAAGGCTTTCGACCGCGTTGAGCACAGCATCCTCTGGAAAGTAATGGAGAAGTTTGGGTTCAGCGCTGGTTTCATAGCCAAGATCAAGGTGTTGTACAATAAGATTGAGAGTATGCTGAAGTTCAACGGTGGGCTGTGTGCTCCTTTTAGAGTGTGTAGAGGGGTCTGGCAGGGCTGTGCTCTGTCTGGCATGCTCTATGCACTCTCCCTAGAACCCCTCCTCAACAAAATACGCTCCAAACTGCAAGGGCTGTTTTTACCTGGTTTTGGTGGAGGCATGGTTTTATCAGCATATGCAGATGATATCATTGTTTTTATTAGAGACCAAAAAGATACAGACATTTTAGTTAACATCGTGAGGGATTTTAGTTCAGCATCGGCAGCGAGGGTGAATTGGAAGAAAAGTGAGGCCCTCGCTGTCGGTGAGTGGAGTGGCAGTCTCCCAGTTCTCCCCCAGAACATGATATGGAAGAAAGATGGGCTAAAGTACCTGGGTGTGTTCTTGGGACAAAAGACAAAAGCATAGTCCTGAGGAACTGGGAGGATGTCATAGGAAAGATAGAGGGAAAGCTGTCCAAGTGGAGGTGGTTGCTCCCTCAGATGTCTTTTAAAGGTAGAGTGTTGGTTTTAAACAACCTTGTGGCATCCCAACTGTGGCACCGTCTTACCTGTGTGGACCCTCCCTCAGGCTTACTAGCCCAAATACAAAAGAAGTTGGTAGAGTTCTTTTGGGAGGGTCTACACTGGGTGCCACAGGGGGTGCTGTTTTTATCTAGAGAGGAGGGGGGACAGGGCCTTATCCACCTGGCCAGCCGAACAGCCACTTTTAGGATACAGTTTTTACAGAGGTATCTGACCGGCCCAGCTGATTTGGTGTGGAGAGATGTGAGCAGCTGCATTCTCCGACGCGTGAGTAACCTGGGGCTGGATGCTGCTCTGTTTTTAACTGATTTAAACTATTTAAAC